CATGTACGGCGGTGTTTTGCCACATACGGCGATATCAAATTCCGACAGTGGCGGTGGTAGATGAACGCGTTGTAAAGGGTCTTCTTGTGACAACCATACGCGATCAACTCTCCTACCTCATTCAACAGTCACCACCACCCACTTTTTCGGAAGAAGATCTTTTCATTGTAACAATAGAACGCTACCGCACTTCATCGACAAACAGTTCTTACGTCCTGCATGAGGACTCGCCCCAGCAACGCATGGTGGGCGATGGGAGTGAGTTGAGGGAAGAGCTATTGTCCTTTGATGTTCTCCGCTCTTTCATTTTACGTGAATTAAACATCATTCGGAGGCTTCATCAGGATAGTGCGCCTGGTGCAGAGGCCTACTATCCGCCAGAGCACACTCCTTTGTCGCACTCTAGTTTTACGACGGTCACCAGCGTGGACAGCGTTTTGGAGGTGGAGTTCCATGAAGGCGGCAATCAAAACAGTGCTCCACACATTGAGAATGTCAAACTGGCGCTTGGTCTTTTTGTGCGGTACGCTCGCCTCTACTTGAGCACGCGTAGTCTGGCCCTCTTGGATCGTCAAGAGCTTTCGGTATCGCTTGAAAAGCTTCTTCATGCACTCAATCGTTTGATTCACGATGTTCGTCGACTCGGGAACTCGGTGCTGACTGGAATTGTGGAAAACGTGCGGGAAGATCTGAAGAGCCTTGCTGGGATTCTGCAGAACAGCTAATGGGGCATTCAGAAGACGATAAGGATGTTAAAAGAAGAAGCGGCGTGGTTTAATTGATTTTTTTTTTTTGTTTTGTGTGTGTGTGGCGTTGGCTTCTTTCACTTTCTCTGGCTGTGTTTCTGTAGGCATAATTGGGTCTTTGTCTTTCTTTTTCCCTTTTTCCTATACGAATGCGATTGTCATGGTTCTTTTTTTATTTGGCTTTTGTTTACTTGTTTTAATGCGTGCTCCCCTTTTTTTCTTTTTTTTTTTTCTTGTGTTGCGGTTCTCCCGTTCTTTTTTTTTTTTTTGTTTTCTTTGTGGATATGTGCGGGGGTAAGCTTGCGTGTGGGTTACAGTCACCTTGCTGCGCTCTGCCATGTCATCAGAACTTCTTTCACTGCCGAAGGTACTTCTGATGGGGCTGCGGAGGTCCGGGAAGAGCAGCATTCAGAAGGTTGTTTTTGAGGGCATGCAGCCGCATGATTCCGTCAATCTCCCGACGACGGTGCAGCCGGATAAGAGCCAAGTTCACTCCAACGACTTTGTGAACTTTGAGGTGTGGGATTTCCCTGGCCAGAGCGATCCCTTTGACCCCAACAACGCGGGTCCGTATGATGTGGAACAGTTACTTGACAATTGCGGGGCCATTGTGTTTGTGATGGACTGTCGCGAGTTGATTGAGGACTCCCGCGCGCGTCTAATCGATACGGTGTGCGCTGCCTACAGATACAACCCTGAGCTTTCGGTTGAGGTCTTCATCCACAAGGTGGATGCTCTTAGTGAGGATCATCAGGCAGATCTTCTTGCCAGCCTGCAGCGTCACGTTGATTTGGAGGCAAAGCAGCGTCTCGAGAGCGCGGCACCGCTGCGTTTGAATTTCAACCTTACCTCCATTTATGATCATTCGGTTTTTCAGGCCTTCTCATTGGTGGTGCAAAAACTCATCAAACCACAGTCCCCATACATCACAGAGCTCCTGCAGATGCTGAATAGCAACAGTAACGTGGATCTCTCGTACTTGTTTCTTAGCCGGTCTAAAATTTTTTTGGCCTTGGATGAGCGGAGCCGTGCAAAGTTGCGAACTTACGGCCTCTGCAGCGACGCTATTGAGGTAATGATGAAGATGAGCCAAATCTACACTCCCAGCACGAAGGAAAGGCGGGAAAACTGTCATGACACCTCCGCTACCAATATTACCAATAATGATGTAGGAAATGGCCATCGCGTGGAGAGCGTTGAGGCAGCCGTTGCTGCGGGGGCAAATGCCGTTATAAAAATCAGCAGTGAAGACTACATTTATGTTAAGGAGTTGCCCAACTCACTCACAGTGGTGTTGATGGCCAAGAAGGAATGCTTTCAAAGCAGAACACTTATCGACTACAATATTTCAGTCTTTTACAAGGCGGCATGCGATATTTTCAATGCCGTTCCCAGTCGGTCGTGAGGTGTTGCTGGTGTGAGACTCGTTTTCTCCATGCGTGGGCAAAGTGTTCTTGGAGGAAAGGGGAGATGTTTCTCATATGAGGTGGTGGGCTCCTTCTGTGAGAGTACACGGCCCGTGGCAACGAATATTCATGTAAACCCGCACGCTTCTCCATTCCCTTTTTTTTTATTATTGAACTTTTTTGTTGTTGTTTTCGTTGTGTAGCTTATTGCCGTGTCGAATTGGTACCGGATCAAAAAGAGGGAAGATATAAGAGACAAAGCAGGAGTGAATTTACCATAAAAATAAAAGAGAAGAAACAACAACAAGAGTACTAAGAAAAAGACACAAGCACACAGTCACCTCCAGAAGACGAAAGAAGGCAAGCAAAAAAAAAAAAAAATGGAGACATATTTGCTATCCGTGTGTCCCTTTTCGACTTTTATGTGGGACGCCCCACATGCAGAGTTGGTGCCACCGGGATTTACCCCTGGATCTGTCGCAGACGCGATGCTGCACATCAGCGATCTGACACTTCGATTTGATCTGTTTGCCAAGGCCGTTGACTATTCGTTTCACCCCGTGCGTTACGCGATGGAGAACCATCCCATCCACACGAAGACGCTGCATAAGCGTCAGTTTGACGTCATGCGCTACGGTATGGTGCTGGATGAAGTAGAGCGGCTCGTGATTGTGCCCATGCCACGTCTGTGTGCTGACAGTGGGGCAAAGGTTTCCCAGGAGTACGCTGCCATTTTTAATGGTGATTTTAACGACGCACCCTGCGCTTCTCACCCCATTTTGCCTGAATATTGTTTTGTTGTCTACCAGCTACCAAAAAGCGGCAATGAGGGGGGTGGAAGCATTCCCACCCCGCTATTCCGTATGGTTTTTCGAAATGAGGCCTTCAACGAACAAATAAAGATGCATTTGGTGAAGGATTTTCCTCTTTTCCGTCTGCGCTCTGTGTACGTGTCACATGCAGAGTTTTACGCCCTCCAACGGCAACTTGAGATTTACACAAAAGTGTCAGCCACCAGTGAAACTCTGCCTGATCCAGCATTGGAAGAAACGCTTGGAATTTCAAAGCTTCGTTGGATGTTTGATGCGTGGTTGATGGTACTGGAAGGTATTGCCCCTTCATGGCTTGTGGACAAGGGTGTCGGTCCAGATATTGTTACCTTGTTTCTTGCCTCGCATCGCCCTATAGGGAAATATGATGTAAAAGAAACTATTGAAGCATACACACAGC